CAGGCGAGGGTGGTTGGATTAGCATTTCAAAGCGAACGAGCCAAGGTCAACTACGTGAACGCTCTGGGAGCATGGGTGTACATCTAATTTCTGTCATCTACAAGATGATAGTCCAAGAAAACATACAGTATGTGATTGATTTGTATGCATGTATGACATAGTTCTCATTGGCGTCAAGCCAGCAGTCAGTCGTCTTATTTCAATTGTGTTGTGTATGTTTTGTAAACTTGAATGCAAAATGGGCAGAGAAATCCATTTACACTTTACATTTGAGTCATTTAGCAGATGCCCTTATCCAGAGTGACTAGTCTGCTTACATATTTTGCATCCATCTTTCATGATTGTTACATTTACATTTACATCATTTAGCAGACGCTCTTATCCAGAGCGACTTACAGTTAGTGAGTGCATACATTATATTTTTCATACTGGCCCCCCGTGGGAATCGAACCCACAACCCTGGCGTTGCAAACGCCATGCTCTACCAACTGAGCTACATCCCTGCCGGCCATTCCCTCCCCTACCCTGGGCCAATTGTGCGCCGCCCCATGGGTCTCCCGGTCACGACAGAGCCTGGATTCGAACCAGGATCTCTAGTGGCACAGCTAGCACTGCGATGCAGTGCCTTAGACCACTGCGCCACTTGGGCGGTATGTCAATACATCTGAATAAGAGCAGCTGCTCTAGCCCTACAGATTTACTGAAGAACATTAGGGCGACTGGGATGCAAATGGCACAAAATGGCCGCCAACACCAAAAATGCCAAGCAGCACATTGTAGGAAGATAGTATCAGCGCTGTCAATCAGTCGCTTCACACTTCTGACACCCTTTAAAGCACCTGGTACTGTGGATTGAGCTTGTGAAGGCCTAAATTCCACTTCATGACACAGTGTGCCTTCTAACAGTGGTGACCGGAAAGGCCTGTAGAGTTTGGAACACTTATTTTCAATGGCAATCTTCCCCCAAAATGGTGGTTTAATTTGGAGGCTACTGGTAGGTTGCGGTGATTCCCTCTTGGGTTGGGTCTTAAGAGTCTAAGGATTGTCGCCAGTACCTTGGGTAATTGGGTAAATTCAAATAGATAACAGATCAAAACGCTTTAGGACCATTACTTTACTAAGGATTCAGTCAACATATAAAATGACTGTCTGGCAAATCTATGGTAAATCTATAATAAGACACCAAAGTTCATAGGGTCATTACAGAGAGCACAGGCAGTGGGGACTGGGGAATTAAGGACTTATTCCCTAACTTCACTGTGTGGTTCTGAGTTTACATCAGAAACCCTGCTGCACCTCCTCTTCTTCTTGCTCTGTCCTCATCAGCTATTCCACCTACACTGTGTGTGTGTGTGTCCTACTTAATGGGCATTAAACCTCCCCAGAGACCTGGCAGGGAATATCCCTCCCTCTCTATATCTCTCTCTGTACTGTAAGCCGACATGGGAAAAGGATATGGGTTGGTTTACATCACTAAGCAGAGCCAAGCAGATGCAAGCTGTACTGTGCTGGCCTCGTTACACACCTGTAACAGGGTTGGTTATGCTTCCTCTTGCAGAAATATTTATTTGGATGTTTATGTATTCAGATTGGTTAGTTGAATTGACATGTCAATAACGTGCAATGCCATTGGCCACACTTGTAGATAGGGGAAGATTGGTGATATATTGACTCGAAATCTACATCAAGCACTGATTAGGACACCTCAGAAATACACCCAACATAGTTACTGGAACCATGCTGGAAATGTAAATGTAAATGTAAAAGGTACAAATCCGAGCCAGCACAGGTAATGTTTGGGTTGGCATGATAGTGTGAAAGGGGTCTTTTTTTGACATGGAAAGACTGGATCTGGGTGTGGAAGTCCTTTCTCCAAAGTGGAATTCACTATGGATTCCCTATGGAGGTCTACATTGTTGTACAGCTGTGTGTGTGTTCCATTGTGGTTGGAAAACCTCCATTGATTGAGTTGGTGTGGTAGGCCCACGGCACGTTGGTGGTGGTGTGTGTCTATTCAAAGTAGAAATGTCCTGTTGTCCTATATTCCTATATTCACAGTTGTGTGGTGTATGTCTGTGTGTCTATGTGTGTGTTCAGTGGGCCTGGGGCCTCCAACTGTACTCCTGTGTCCTCCATGACTCCTACACTGACAGACAGGTGACACTGGCTCCCAGCCACCCACTGTCACTCTGTGTCAAGATGCAGTAGGAACAGAGAAGAGGAAAGACAGCAACAACACACATCAACATAGGAGAGAGAAAGCACATACTGATATGGCGACATTTTCGTGGCGCAAAAGAGCACAGATCTCCTTATAATACACATTGTTGAAGAAAAGCCACAAATTAATTCACGCTGACAGATGAGGTTTATGGTATTTTGTACCAAATGTAGCAAATGACGCCCAAAACAACAGCATATGCCATACATTTCTGCCCAACCGCTTTCCTTCTCACTTCCTCTTTTTTATCCTCCCTTTTGTCTCTGAGACCCCATATGCAAATGTATCGAATTAACCCCCATTTACAAATGGTTCGACCTAACCCCCATATGCAAATGTTGGACCTAACCCCCATATGCAAATGTATCTCTAGTCAATTCCACTTCAATTCAATTAATTCAGGAAGTCAAGTGCAATTCCAATTCTCTATAACAACATTTTGGAATTTAAATGTCAGTTTACTTCCTGAATTGACTGAATGTCAACTCCAATGGAATTGACTCCAACCTGCTGTATAGCTTAGTTTCATTGTGTTTTTGTTTTTACATGTATCTATTGTACCGTGTGTCTCAATACATGTATTCCAACGTTACGTTGTGTTTCATGTTTATTACAATGTATCTCATTGCACGTAACGTTGTTGTTGTTTTACCTCATTTGGGTCCTCGTTCCTTCTTCTCTATCGCTACATGCTCATCTCTCTTTCACCTACTTTGGGTCTCTCTCTCTCTCTGTCTCGCTCTCGCTCTCTGTCTCATACCACACACACACACAAACCCACTTGCACTCAAGCATATTAAAGGAACTCTCAGCTATTTAGTATGATAAATGGCTATGTCTGTTTCTATTAAAAGTTGCTGAGGAATTCTCTCTCCCTCTCTCTCTCTCTCTCTCTCCATCCCTTAATTCTCTCTCTCTCCTCTCTCTCTCTCTCTCTCTCTCTCTCTCTCTCTCCATATCCTACTACAGAACAACCTCAGCATCTCACTGTTGTTTTGATCATCTTCTTACTAGTATACAGTGCCTTCAGAAAGTATTCATACCCCTTGACTTATTCCACATTTTGTTGTGTTACAGCCTGAATTCAAAATTGATTAAATTGTTGTTCTTTAACCCATTTTAACAAAACAATTTAACCCATTTTAACCTCATAATGACAAAGTGAAAACATTTTTTAAATGTTTGGGCAAATGTATTGGAAATTATATACAGCGATATCATTTGCATAAGTATTCACACCCCTGAGTCAATACATTGTAGAAGCATCTTTGTCAGCGAATACAGCTGTGTGTCTTTCTGGGTAAGTCTCTAAGAGCTTTCCACACCTGGATTGTGCAACATTTGCCCATTATTATTTTCAAGATTCTTCAAGCTCTGTCAAATCGGTTGTTGATCGTAGCTAGACAACCATTTTTCAGGTCTTGTCATAGATTTTCAAGCCGATTTAAGTCAAAACTGTAATTCGGCCACTCAGGAACATTCACGGTCTTCTTGGTAAGCAAATCCAGTGTAGATTTGGCCTTTTGTTTTCAGTTATTGTCCTGCTGAAAGGTGAATTCATCTCCCAGTGTCTGGTGGAAAGCACACTGAACCACGTTTTCATCTAGGATTTTGCCTGTGCTTAGCTCCATTCCCTTTCTTTTATCCTGAAAAACTCCCCAGACTTAACAATTGCAAGCATACCCATAACATGATGCAGCTATCACTATGCTTGAAAATATGGAGAGTGGTACTCGGTAATGTGTTGTATTGGATTTGCCCCAAACATCACACTTTGTAGTCAGGACAAAAAGTCAATTGCTTTGCCACATTTTTTGCAGTATTACTTTAGTGCCTTGTTGCAAACAGGATGCATCTTGTGGAATATTTTTTTCTGTACAGGCTTCCTTCTTTTCACTCTGTCAATTATGTTAGTATTGTGGAGTAACTAGAATGTTGTTGATCCATCCTCAGTTTTCTCCCATCACATGTAACTGTTTTAAAGTCACCATTGGCCTCATGGTGAAATGCCTGAGCAGTTTCCTTCCTCTCCGGCAACTGAGTTAGAAAGGACGCCTGTATCTTTGTAGTGATCTGGTGTATTGATACACCATCCAAAGTGTAATTAATAACTTTACCATGCTCAAAGGGATATTTAATGTTTACCTTTATTTTTACCCATCTACCAATAGGTGCCCTTCTTTGTGAGGTATTGGAAAACCTCACTTGTCTTTATGGTTAATCTGTGTTTGAAAATCACTGCTCGACTGAGGGACCTTACAGATAATTCAATGTGTTGGGGTACAGAGATTAGGTCATAAACAAATTATGTTAAACACTATTATTGCATAGAGAGTGAGTCCATGCAACTTATTACGTGACTTGTTAATCACATTTTTACTCCAGAATCTATTTAGGCTTTCCATAACAAAGGGGTTGAATACTTATTGACACAAGACATTTCAGCTTTTCATTTTTAATTATTTAGTAAAAATGTTGAAAAACATAATTCAACTTTGACATTATGGGGTATTGTGTGTAGGCCAGTGACAAAAATCAAAAATGTAATCCATTTTAAATTCAGGCTACAACACAACAAAATGTGGAAAAAGTCAAGTGGTGTGAATCCTTTGGTCAACAACACTTAAAATACTACAGTTTTAACACCAAAATACACCTGTTGTATCCTTGTGAACTGCGGATACCTCTTGTTTCATCCATCCTTTAAAATCAGTTAGTCTATAGTAATATCCTAGTTGTTCTTTAGTAATCAGATAATACTATCATGTTTCTTTCTCACATGAATCTGAAGGGAAAATCCAAAAAGAACACAGAAAATCACCAGCACTAAAACATACATATGACGGGGCAGTTGGACATGCTGTATCAAATCACACGACTCCCTGCCTTTATCTACCTCAAAGCTAATATGACTCATAGCCAGTCCAAAATGTAGATTGGTGTGTTTGTACAGACAGTATTTTGATGTGTTTATTTAAGCAAATAAACGCCTGTTTTAAATAAACGCCGGGTGTAAATGAATTATTTTCAAGGTTACCATAAATTACCAATAATTATTTACAAGGTTTATTGTTTGATATGCTACATTAAATAATTCAGTAATGACTCGAAAAAAATGTCAATCCTGTTTTTATCGCCAGTAAGAAACTGCTAACCATTGACTGCTAACAGTTGAGAACTGCTAGCTAACTGGTAAGCACAAAAACAGTCAACAACTTCGGCAGTACAAACCCCTAGAAATCATCTGCTCGCCCTCTAGTGGTGAAAGTAAGAACTGCCGAAAATGCACAGTCAATAGGATAATAATTATTCGGTCAAGGAAATGAGGCATGCTAAGCCAAAATAAACATGACACAGTGTGTAAATGATAACACATTAGTGCAGAAAATGAAGAAATTGATTAAAATGTTGGAAGTGAATGCTGGAATTAAACAATTAACTATGCAATTGAGCAAATGCTGTGCACATTAAGGAAATAGACGCCTGGCTCAAATAGAAGTTTGTCTCCAATAAGCGCCTGTTGTGTTCAGTGATTTAAGCAAATAAACCCTGGCTATTAATTGAAGTTTTACAGTAAGCTTCCTGACCACAGTGATTCCATCATTATTAATCAGCAAGTCCCATATCCTGCCACTTTGACCCACTTCCATCTCTACAAACATAAAAAAACATATCAAGTGGTTCACTAAATACAGTGCATTCGGAAAGTATTCCACATTTTGTTACGTTACAGTCTTATTCGAAAATGCACTAACTACTGTAGCAGGTGTTCTTGTTCTTCTGCCCTGCATTATATCTGTCCTGCTCTGTTTCTGATAGATGGATAAATCCTCTAGTGTTTATAATCTGGGTCTCGCTGTACCTGGCTATTAAATGGCAATCTCTCCGCTGTCAGAACAGGCATGAAGTGTGATTGAGGAGGAGAGGACTGAAGAGGAGGAGAGGATGAAAGGAGAAGAGGATTAGAGTGACAGGGTCAGGTCAGGGGGGGATGGAGGGAGGGATGGATGGATGGAGGGATGGATGAAGGTGTAAGGATGGATCTAATGACAGCCATTTGGTCGTAATAGACTCCTAGTGGTGCCTGTGTGGAGTTGGATGGAGATGGATGATGGTTATTATAGGTCAGGGGTAGAGGTTTATTGTTCTCTATCACCACACAAAGACAATATAGCAAAAGCACATTATGCGCGCATCCAAAGCAAGCAACCGTGCACATACACACAATGGTCTCTCCATTTATCATTTTTTTATTTTCCATCTATCCTTCTCTTTTCATCTTGTCTCTTGCCTTTCATCCACACACCTGCATTCAAACACACACACACACACACTCATACTTGAGTCCACTCGCACACACAAATCGAATCCAGCGTGAGACTACAGAGACAGTGGGAGGCCAGTACTCACCTTGTGAGAAGCACTGGAGACGTTGGGGTTTGAAACAGTGAGTGAGCTGCATAGATAGACAATGAAGACACACACACACACACACACACACCTGAACATGCACACCGAATGACCTACTTCTTCCCTTTCACCTACATCACTTTCATAATAAAGTGTGTGTGTGTTTGTCTGTGTGTGTGTGTGTGTGTGTGTGTTTGTCTGTGTGTGTGTGTGCATACACACAGAGATTCAACAACACAGCGAGGCCGCTCATGTTAAAGATACACATTCATAATGCATGGATATTCAGTTAATTATGCATTGCCATGGTCTAAGTCATTAAACATGGCTTACAGGGTTGTTTTGGCTGTGTTTAAAGGGGGGCAATGAGAAGCTGCATTCTATCATGGTTTGGCTCTGGTCCAGGGTGTTATGTGTGGCTGAGCCTTCTTCCACTCCCTGCATCTGGATGAATGGAAAGATTCAGGGCGTTGAAGAAGGGGCGTAATGCCCTGGACCAGAGCTAGGACAGATGGCTATGAAAGGGTTTGATGGTTGGTCATGAGTTAATTAGTCTGCTGCATTGCTGCAGAAATGTGGCCTGTCCACATGCAGCTGCTCCAAATGCACCTATCCATATCAGTGGGGAAACAAGTATTTAGACACTGCCTGCAGTTTTCCACTTACAAGCATATAGAGGCGTAATTTTATAACTCAACGTGCGAGACGGACTAAAACAAAATCGAAATCACATTGTTATTGTAATAATGAATGCATTTTTGCAACAATATTTATCTAAAGCAGACTTATATTGGTACGAACCTTGTTGCATACGAGATATAGTTCTGTAGTCTGACCAGGTTGCACACACTGCACAGGGATTTTGGCCCACTCCTCCATACAGACCTTCTCCAGATCCTTCAGGTTTCGGGGCTGTCGCTGGGCAATACAGACTTTCAGCTCCCTCCAAAGATTTTCTATTGGGTTCAGGTCTGGAGACTGGCTAGGCCACTCCAAGACCTTGAGATGCTTCTTACGGAGCCACTCCTTAGTTGCCCTGGCTGTGTGTTTCGGGTCATTGTCATGCTGGAAGACCCAGCCACGACCCATCTTCAATGCTCTTACTGAGGGAAGGAGGTTGTTGGCCAAGATCTCGCGATACATGGCCCCATCCATTCTCCCCTCAATACGGTGCAGTCGTCCTGTCCCCTTTGCAGAAAAGCATCCCCAAAGAATGATGTTTCCACCTCCAAGCTTCACGGTTGGGATGGTGTTCTTGGGGTTGTACTCATCCTTCTTCTTCCTCCAAACACGGCGAGTGGAGTTTAGACCAAAAAAGCTCAATTTTTGTCTCATCAGACCACATGACCTTCTCCCATTCCTCCTCTGGATCATCCAGATGGTCATTGGCAAACTTCAGACGGGCCTGGATATGCGCTGGCTTGAGCAGGGGGACCTTGCGTGCGCTGCAGGATTTAAATCCATGACGGCGTAGTGTGTTACTAATGGTTTTCTTTGAGACTGTGGTCCCAGCTCTCTTCAGGTCATTGACCAGGTCCTGCCGTGTAGTTCTGGGCTGATCCCTCACCTTCCTCATGATCATTGATGCCCCACGAGGTGAGATCTTGCATGGAGCCCCAGACCGAGGGTGATTGACCGTCATCTTGAACTTCTTCCATTTTCTAATAATTGCGCCAACAGTTGTTGCCTTCTCACCAAGCTGCTTGCCTATTGTCCTGCAGCCCATCCCAGCCTTGTGCAGGTCTACAATTTTATCCCTGATGTCATTACACAGCTCTTTGGTCTTGGACATTGTGGAGAGGTTGGAGTCTGTTTGATTGAGTGTGTGGACAGGTGTCTTTTATACAGGTAACGAGTTCAAACAGGTGCAGTTAATACAGGTAATGAGTGGAGAACAGGAGGGCTTCTTAAGAAAACGAACAGGTCTGTGAGAGCCGAATTCTTACTGGTTGGAAGGTGATCAAATACTTATGTCATGCAATAAAATGCAAATTAATTACTTAAAAATCATACAATGTGATTTTCTGGTTTTAGATTCCGTCTCTCACAGTTGAAGTGTACCTATGCAAAAAATTACAGACCTCTACATGCTTTGTAAGTAGGAAAACCTGCAAAATCAGCAGTGTATCAAATACTTGTTCTCCCCACTGTAGAGCACTATGTAAGGAATAGGGTGCCATTTGGGACGCATCCACGGTTACAGTGTAGTTGCATCAGTTTGATGTTTGGGTAAAACTTTATATTAAGTTGCCCCTATTACGATGTAACTAACACATTAATAACTGTTAACATAGTAGTTACATAGGTTTACTATGTAATTACATGGTAATAGGGCTGTTGCGGTATCAGTTATTCCACAACTGGAACAAGGAATGTGTAAGTACACATTAACTTGAAGGTTATTCCACATGCGTAACTACTGATGTTATTACACACACTGTTGTTCCACTATCTAACTACTGTTTTGTAATTACACATTTGAAAGTCAACTGTGCATGTTTGTCTCTGGGGAATATTCTCATTGCTGGGAGACCTAAGCACATACTGGATGTGTACTTACATAGTAGTACTGCTTGAAATATATACAAATATACAGTACCAGTCAAAAGTTTGGACACAACTACTCATTCAAGGATTTTCTTTATTTTTACTATTTTTTACATTGTAGAATAATAGTGAAGACATCAAAACTATGAAATAACACATATGGAATCATGTAGTAACCAAAAAAGTCTTGAAACAAATCAAAATATATTTTATATTGGAGATTCTTCAAAGTAGCCACCCTTTGCCTTGATGACAGCTTTGCACACTCTTGGCATTCTCTCAACCAGTTTCATGAGGTAGTCACCTGGAATGCATTTCAATTAACAGGTGTGCCTTGTTAAAAGTTAATTTGTTGAATTTCTTTCCTTCTTAATGCATTTGAGACAATCAGTTGTGTTGTGACAAGGTAGGGGTGGTATACAGAAGATAGCCCTATTTGGTAAAAGACCAAGTCCATATCATGGCAAGAATAGCTCAAATAAGCAAAGAGAAATGACAGTCCATCATTACTTTAAGACATGAAGGTCAGTCAATACAGAACATTTCAAGAACTTTGAAAGTTTCTTCAAGTGCAGTCGCAAAAACCATCAAGCGCTATGATGAAACTGGCTCTCATGAGGACTGCCACAGGAAAGGAAGACCCAGAGTTACCTCTGCTGCAGAGGATAAGTTCATTAGAGTTAACTGCACCTCAGATTGCAGCCCAAATAAATGCTTTACATAGTTCAAGTAACAGACACATCTCAACATCAACTGTTCAGAGGAGACTGTGTGAATCAGGCCTTCATGGTCGAATTCCTGCAAAGAAACCACTACTAAAGGACACCAATAATAAGAAGAGACTTGCTTGGGCCAAGAAACACGAGCAATGGACATTAGACCGGTGGAAATCTGTCCTTTGGTCTGATGAGTCCAAATTGGAGATTTTTGGTTCCAACTGCCGTGTCTTTGTGAGATGCAGAGTAGGTGAACGGATGATCTCTGCATGTGTGGGTCCCACCATGAAGCATAGAGGAGGAGGTGTGATGGTGCTTTGCTGGTGACACTGTCTGTGATTTATTTAGAATTCAAGGCACACTTAACCAGCATGGCTACCACAGCATTCTGCAGCGATACGCCATCCCTATCTGGTTTGCGCTTAGTGGGACTATAATTTGTTTTTCAACAGGACAATGACCCAAAACACACCTCCAAGCTGTGTAAGGGCTATTTGATCAAGAAGGAGAGTGATGGAGTGCTGCATCAGATGACCTGGCCTCCACAATCACCTGACCTCAACCCAATTGAGATGTTTTGGGATGAGTTGGACCACAGAGTGAAGGAAAAGCATATGTGGGAACTCCTTCAAGACTGTTGGAAAAGCATTCCTCATGAAGCTGGTTGAGAGAAATGCCAAGAGTGTGCAAAGCTGTCATCAAGGCAAAGGGTGGCTACTTTGAAGAATCTAAAATCTAAAACATATTTTGATTTGTTAAACACTTTTTTGGTTATTACATGATTCCAAATGTGCTATTTCATAGTTTTGATGTCTTCACTATTATTCTACAATGTAGAAAATAGTAAAAATAAAGAAAAACCCTTGAATGAGTAGGTGTGTCCAAACTTTTGACTGGTAGTGTATACATACAATATGAAAACATAATGAGTGTGAATGAGGAATATATGTGGTATATATGTGAATAAAATGAGTAGTATTATTTTATTGTATTGTAGCCGAGGCTTTGTCGTTAGGAAAGGTTTCCTTTGTTCAGTGTGACGACTGGTAGACCATAGCCGCTGGGGCTTTGCCATGATAAACAAATGGTGCTGGACCGGACTGGACTGTAACCTGTGAGTGTTGCCAAACAGACACCATTCAGATGCAGCCCAATCTGATCTGACAACAGAGCAGGTGGGAGTCTGCCTGGGCACTACAATGGTGACAGACCGCCGCCGGACATTCGCAGGTGTATGTGTGTTTGTGTGTATGTGGCTGTGTTCATTCAAATGTGTGTGTGGGTGTTGTTACTGAGAAACTGAGATAACATCAGATAGTAAGCAACCAAATAGAACACACACACTCCTCAGTGGAGTATATGTCCACTGTGTGTGACAACGGGCCAAACATACCAATGAAGACAGGATGTGACACACTGTGCCATTGAAAGAACACAAAGCTAGGATTGCACCACCATTTCAATCATTTTGCATTAAAGAAGTGGTATAAATACTACACCGAATAACAACTTGTACAATGTGATTTTTTTTCACCTCATCAGACATGGGTAGGTTTTGTGTATAGATGTGTGTGTGTGTGTGTGTGTGTGTGTGTGTGTGACTCACCACTTTGGGCTTGAAGGGGGGCTGGATCTCGCGGTTCTGGAGGCGTTCCCAGTCGATGCGTCTGAAGAAGGCGTGCTCCTGGATGTCCCTCTCTCCCTCGGAGCCGCAGCCCAGGCGCTTCGACGGGTGTTTGGTCATCAGCTGGGAAGGATAAGGAAGGAACGGCCATAGAGTTAGAACAAATGTATATATTTTACAGCAGTGTACTTTCCTAGTCGAACACGAATTCTAGCTCTCGTCCCTCCCTCTCTTTCTTTCTTTCTTCAAGTTTCCCAACAGCGTGCGTGGACTTAGATAGCCCTATTAGAAAGTTGCCCACTCGCATTGGAACATAATGCTCATTAGGAGTGTGTGTCTGTCAGTGGGCACATGTTACATCAGCAGGGGGTGACATTGGTTGCATAGCCAGCCTGGCAGGTACAGTACTCCACTATCTTAACAGAAAAACATAATAATTTGTTGTCATTGAAATGCAAAGAGGGAAAGAATATTCATTACTTCGTCCAAAATGGCACCCTATTCCCTATGTAGTGCACTACTTTTGACCAGAGTCTCTGTCGTGGGAGGAAGAGTGATATCCATTGCAATTTATTTTTAGTTTGAAACTCAGTTTGGATGCAGCAACATAGCATCTGGGTATAGTGGCATATACTGTAGGATAGCGTAGGATGGGGGACTAAAACAAATCCAAATACTTATCTAACTCCATAAACCTTAAGCTACATTTGCTCAGGCCTTTAGCCCAACACTCACTCACCAAACCATGACTCTCTCTGTAATTCTCTCCACTTTTGTCTCCAACTCCTGAACCCAGAACACAGGTCTGATATTCTCTCCCATTCGTCATAATATCACAGTCTTTTGAAGGGAATTTGAGTTGAGTCTTTTAATGTGTGTGTGAGTGAGTAATCCTAGCTGGTGTGAAGAGGCTAGGGAGAGTAATGAGAAAAGCTGAGAAAATCTCTCTCTCTCTCCCTCTCTCCCTCCTCTCTCCCTCTCTCCCTCTCTCCCTCTCTCCCTCTCTCCCTCTCTCCCTCCTCCCTCTCTCCCTCTCTCCCTCCCTCTCTCCCTCTCTCCCTCCCTCCCTCCCTCCCTCCCTCCCTCCCTCCCTCCCAAAATTGCAGTGACACAGCGGTGGGGCCCGAAGAGTGGTGGTGACAGCAAAGCATGCTGGGCAATGTAACAAGGCCTAAAATACCAGCCAGTCCCAATCTATACCTGTCGTCTGTCTGTGGCAGCCACACAATTGTGATTTAGACACGTGTGTGCGTCACAGCTGGGGAAAAGGAAAAAGTAATTGTCAGGGTTGTGTTCACAGATCCTGGTGTTCCCCTATACGTTACGAAAGTGAAAAGGGAACCTTTGTATGCTGCAAACAGAACCCAGTCTGCTTTGCTTGACTTCACCGTCAAAATGTAAACTTGTGGCCCAAAAGCAGTCTGAGAATCAGTCTGTCTGTGTCTGTCTATGGCTGGTGAGCTAAGGGATCATGACCAGGTTCTCAGTGTTATCTCCTTGCTAGAACACACACACACATGCACACACAGACGCACAGACACCTCCCCGAGCCCTTTAATTCACACGAGCCTTAGAGGATGGCCCGTCCACAAAGGCAGAGCATTGGATCAAAGCAAATCCCCCATCTTCAGAAACAATGGAGAGACCTCACTCTCTTACACCGACAGAGAGATAGGGTCCGATATGGGACACAACCTATTAGCGCACTACTTTTAACCACTATGGGCCCTGGTCAAAAGGAGTGCACTACAAAGGGAATAGGGTGTAATTTGGGATAGACAGAGGGATTTGTGATAAAATGTTGTAGGACATTTTTGCTGCAACCTAAATACTACAGATGTAGAATCTAAATTTGAGCCAGTTTGCTACAGCAGGAAAATAATCCTGTAACAACAGGAAATTAGAATTATTATGCGGATTATAATTCATGTTTTTTTTTTGTAAGGGTTGATACATGTTTCGTTAGGGCGGCAGGTAGCTTAGGGGGCGGCAGGTAGCTTAGTGATTAAGAGCGTTGTGCCAGTAACCGAAAGGTCGCTGGTTCTAATCCCCGAGCCGACTAGGTGAAAAATCTGTCGATGTGCCCTTACATTTTAGTCATTATAGCAGACGCTCTTATCCAGAGCGACTTACAGTTAGTGAGTGCATACATTTTTCATACTGGCCCCCTGTGGGAAACGAACCCACAACCCTGACGTTGCAAGCGCCATGCTCTACCAACTTGATGCTACCTTTGATGAACAACATGCTCTACCCTTGAGCAAGGCACTTAACCCTAATTGCTCCTGTAAGTCGCTCTGGATAAGAACGTCTGCTAAATGACTAAAATGTAAAATGTAAATCAAGTCTGACATTTTAAAGTGAAAATTACAAACTTTAGAAGCTTTTTTAAACCTTGAATACACTACACGTTTGCATTTCTTGCTGTGCAGGACAATTCTCAGCAACAAAACAACTGCCTTCTCCCCTTTCCAACCCCTTTCTCCCCTTCTGAGCCATCTTTCCCTCTCTCTCTACCCCATCTCTCTCTTTCCTACTCTCTCCCGCCCTCTCTCTCTCTCTCTCTCTCTCTCTCTCTCTCTTCCCACCCTCTCTATCTCTACCACCCCCTCTCTCTCTCTCTCCCACCCTCCCTCTCTTTCCCACCCTCTCTCTCTCTACCACCCTCTCTCTCTCTCTCTCTCTCCCACCCTCTCTCTCCCACCCTCCCTCTCTCTCCCCCACCCTCCCTCTCTCCTCCCACCCTCCCTCTCTCTCTCCCATCCTCTCACCCTCTCTTTCCTCCCCCTCTCCCCCACCCCTCCTCCCTACCATCTACACCCCCCTCTCTCTCTTTCCTACTCCCCACCCTCCTCCTCCCCACCATCTCTCACCTCTCCTCCCCCACCCCCCCACCCTCTCTCTCGCTCGCTCTCCCCCCCCCCTCTCTCTCTCTCTCTCTCTCCCCACCCTCTCTCTCTCTCCCCCCCACCATCTCTCTCCTCCCACCCCCCCTCTCCTCTCTCTCCCCCTCCCCACCCCCCCACCCACCCACCCTATCTCTCTTTTCGACCCCCACCCCCACCCTCTCTCTCGCTCTCCTCCCACCCTCCCCTCTCTCCCACCCACCCTCTCTCTCTCCCACCCACCCTCTCTCTCGCTCTCTCCCACCCTCTTTCCCCCCCCCCACACCTCCTCACCCCTCCCTCCCGCTCACCCACCCACCCCCCTCTCTCTCTCTCCCTCCCCACCCACCCACCCCACCCTCTCTCTCCCCACCCCTCTCTCTCCCCTCTCTCTCTCTCTCCCCACCCACCCCCCCCCCCGCTCTCTCGCTCTCTCCCCCCCCCCTCCCCTCCCCCCCCACCCACCCCTCCTCTCTCTCCCCCCCCCCCACTCTCTCTCGCTCTCTCCCACCCCCCCCTCTTCTCTCACCACCCACCCCCCCACCCACTCCCTCCCCACCCACCCCCCCCCCCCACCCTCTCGCTCCCCCCCCCCCCCTCTCTCCCCTCTCTCCCCCCCCTCCCCCCTTTCCCTCTCTTCTTCTCTCTCTCCCCCCTCTCTCTCCCCTCTCCCCCCTCTCCTCTCCCCCCCCCCTCTCTCTCCCCCCACCCTCTCTCCTCTCTCTCCCCCCTATCTCTCCTCTCTCCCCCCCACCCCCCTTTTCTCGCCTCCTCCCACCCTCTCTCTTTCCCCCACCTCTCTCCCTCCCCCCCCCTCCTCTCTCTCTCCCCCCCCACCCTCTTCTCCTCGCTCTCCCCCCTCCTCTCTCTCCCCCCCACCACCCCTCTCTCTCTCGCTCCCCCCCCCTCGCTCTCTCCCCCCCCCGCTCTCCCTCCCTCTCTTCTCTCTCCCCCCTCCTCTCTCTCTCCTCCACTCTCTCCCCCCTCCTTCTCTCTCCTCACCCTCTCTCCTCTCTCCCCCCCCACCCCTCTCTCCTCCCCCCTCTCTCTCCCCCCCCTCTCTCTCCCCCCACCACCTCCTCTCTCCCTCCCCCCCTCTCTCTCTCTCTCTCCACCCCCCCCCACCCCTCTCCTCTCCCTCCTCTCTCCCCCCCCCTCCTCTCCTCTTCCTCTCTCTCTCCTCCACCTCTCAGTCTCTCCTCTGCACCACCGATTCTCTACTCCTCTATCGGGACTTCCTCCTCTCTTGTTCTCCCATTCTCTCCCCCTACCCCCTTCTTCTTCAATCTCTGCACTCCCTCGGTGTCTCCTCTCTCTCTGGTCCCCAGTGCTGGGCTTGACCCTTTTCTCTATTTTGTTGGTGAATTCATTTCTCGATCATTGGGCTTGGGGAAATCCATTATCTCAAATTACCCGCTGGGTTTTGCCAATTTGCATCACTTTTTCAAAATTTGGAAGTTTCTCCCAATACCTAAATTGGCAGAACGTTATCATGTTTTACAATGATGGTTTTCCGGGAATAGGTTATCTGGTCCGGATGTTCATTTTTTTACGGAGGGCCCCCCCAGGGTTTTTTCGGGGGTTTTTTTTTTTTTGGGGTTTTTCCCCCCCCTTTAGCCCCCCTCTTTTTTTTCCCCCCCCCCCCCTTCCCTTTCCCCTCTTTTCCCTACCCTATTTCCCCCTACCCCTCCTTCTCTCTCCCCCCCCCTTCTCTCCCCTTCTCCCCAACCCCCCGCCCATCCTTTTTCCCCCCCCTTAAACCCCTCTCGGAAAGTTCTTTCCTTGTGGTCCCTTCCGGTTTTAAAGCCCTTTTCTCCTTCTCCCCTGGTAAAGATCCCCCTTCCTTCCGATTTTACCCCGGGCCGGCTTTGGGGTCTTCACTGAAACCCTCCTCTCCCCCCATTTCTTCGTCTTCTTTCCCAAAATTTTCCCCCGACCCTTCCTCTCTGTATTCTGCCTCCTTTCTTCTCTCGGGGGGTTCTCTCTTTCTCTCTCTCTCTCTCTACCACCAGGTTGGGGACAGGATGTGAAGGCTTATATTGACTTCAATGGGAATTTCCGTTCTAGTAATTCTATTTTTATGATAGGGGCTAAGGGTTCTTTGGGTCAAAGGTCGTACTCACCCCTTTGCAGATGGACACGGCCTCTTTGGACATTTGCTTGGGGTACGACACGTTGTGCTCCATGATGGACTGGAAGAGCTCGTCCTCGTCCTCACCATCAAATGGGGGCTGGGGAACAACACATTATATAGAACGTTATATGCATGTTGTAAATATGTTGCCAATGTTGTATACATGTTGTAAATAGGTTGAGAATGTTATATACATGTTGTAAATATGTGAGAATGTTATATACATGTTGTAAATAGGTTGAGAATGTTATATACATGTTGTAAATAGGTTGAGAATGTTATATACTTGCGAAAATAGGTTGAGAATGTTATATACATGTTGTAAATAGGTTGAGAATGTTATATACATGTTGTAAATATGTTGACAATATCATGTAAATGTTAACAGAATGTGTAGTACATCTGTATATCTTATCAGTAATTCACCTTTATTCAAACAGGTAAATTGATGATAATCTATCTAGTATCTTAATGTCATAGCTATTTTTCAGGGGTCATTGCTAAACAGGGCCCAGTTCGCAACTCAGCAGTCTGCAATGCAGGTGTCAAGTGTATAAAAAGCCAGCTTTAATAGAATTTTAGGAGGACAAAGACAATTAGAAATGTCATGCTAGCTACACAAATAGCCAGAAGAGCTGGCCTCACAGGACTGCTTAAAACAGCTTGGCAGAAAAAGGGAAACATTTGCTTTGAAAAACACAATTTGACAAAGTGTGCTGTGGTGATTGTGTCCGACACTAGCTTGAAAGTTTACATTTTTGTATCGAGGGGATTCCAAGCCTATTTGAAAATAGTATTGTGGGGGAAAATGAAGTCAAAAGGTTGTTGCCAGAGGCATTATCGGTCCAAAACCAGAATAAACATGAACTAACCTTCAACTACCAGGTTAACCCTTCGATGTCCTAAAGTTCCAAACATTGTCATAAAAACACACTTGGAAGTATTTTCTTTGGTGATGAACATTTACACTTGGGTACCAAAGCATCTGCTCAAAGCCATTGGATGTGTGTATATTCTACCCTTTCTCAGTCCAGTAATACAACCAAATAAGGGGTTGTTATAGTGGCTTGTCGAGAGAGAGACAGAGAGAGAGAGAGAAATAAATACAAATGAAAAAGCAACGAAACGGAAGATAAAAATCAACGAAAGAGGTCTAGACTGTAGAGAGCGCAAGAAACAAGTTCCAGACCAAAATTGCCAGCTGGGAGGCAAATGGACTAGATGGTCCAGCTATTTTCTCCCTCCACCTCTATCATTACTAACCATAATGTGTGCATTGTGACACTTCATAAATGTATTATTTTTCATTTCCACTAGACTAAACCCTTTGGCAAGAGATAGCTGCTTTCTGCTCTCTTTATCTGATATACAGTACACTGCACTGAACACTCTCTTGAGAGGGAAACACACACACACATAAACACACCTCCCTCCCACCCACACACTCCGCCCATCCTGAGGTCATATAAGCCAAATGAACTACTTTCGGCCTTTGAGTGTGTACTGTGAAAGGGTATAAAACCCAAAGTTGCTAACAACATTTCCTGCCCCAGGGACTTCCCTCAGTGGATGGCTGGGCTGCTGCTCATTCATCGCAGTCTGTTTCTGCCCAGTGAACGGGACGGGATGAGGCTCCTGGCCACTGGAGCCCCAAACACACAGGGAGTAAACAAACCCATCACACCTACTGAACACGGCAGCAAGGAGTTAGCCCTGGCTGCATCTCAAATGGTGCCCCATAGGGCTCTGGTCAAAAGTAGTGTACTATATAGGGAATAGGATACCATTTGGGACGCAAACCCAGAGTATCCATTAGCGTAGCCGCTTAGCCAGTCAACTTATCACTTTTTGAGTGATAAGTGGCTAAATTGGAATGGCAGTGGATGTACAGTAACATGCTATACATGACGTCAGAGCTCTGGCTCTGCACTTCACAGCGTTGTATGGGTTTTGACTGACAGCTGTTCTGAACTAGAGCACCGTGCGCGACAAGAAGCTGCCCCCATCCCTCCCGCTAATTGAACTGCGTTTGCAATGTTTTGTTGTGTGAGTGAAATATACCGCTTTGATATCATACAAGCAAGTCAAACATGCTTGAGTTAAAATGTGCACTTCACATTTCCATATCAATTATACTCATGTCATATACAGTGTCAACGTATAATGTTTGATGTACAGTTACAAGATGACATGGCGTCAAACCCTGGGTTATTCTGAACAGAATGAGCCTATGTTTGTCTATTGTGAAGAAAATTCACCGCGTCACACGCACCTGAATGCACTCATGACCGCTTTCTATGCGGACCAAATAGTTGAAGACTCTTCTTTGAGTCATAAAAGTGCATTGAAATTACTTAGGAACTGTGCACACTTTGGAGAGGTGTGTGGCCCCTTGGAGACACCAGTTAGTCCTCTCACTCAAACCCTTGGAATTGTTTTGTTTTATGTTGCACCTACCCCAGACTTTCCAGGGATAGTCTTATCATGTTGCTGAATGTATTCAGAGTATTATCAGATTTCGTTATCAACATATGCATCCAAAAGTACAGTAAACATAAACTGCACATAAAACTCAACAGTGTAATGTTTGGATTCAGTCTTGTGTCAGGTGAACTGTTGTGTCCTCACCTTTGGTCTAATAATTTTCCCATAATCTCCAAACTGTTCCCTTTCAATTGCTACCATGGTTATGCATATGCTTTTCATATTTCTTCTGTAAGAAACATTACAATTTAGCCCTATCCATATAGACCAATTCCCACAAGTGTAAAGGGTTAAGGGCACAGAATAACAACCTAGTCTCAGAGCATTTTGTATAATTCTGTACGTAAATCCGATACACTCCATTTCGTATGATATGTTACCAATGACAATTCACAATATACACTACCAGTTAAAGGTTTGGACACACCTACTCATTCAAGGGTTTTTCTTTATTTTTACTATTTTCTACATTGTAGAATAATAGTGAAGACATCAAAACTATGAAATAACACATATGGAATCATGTAGTAACCAAAAAAGTCTTGAAACAAATCAAAATATATTTTATATTTGAGATTCTTCAAATAGCCACCCTTTGCCTTGATGACAGCTTTGCACACTCTTGGCATTCTCTCAACCAGCTTCATGAGGTAGTCACCTGGAATGCATTTCAATTCACAGGTTTATTTGTGGAATTTCTTTCCTTCTTAATGTATTTGAGCCAATCAGTTGTGTTGTGACAAGGTAGGGGGTGGGGTATACAGAAGATAGCCCTATTTGGTAAAAGACCAAGTCCATATTATGTCAAGAACAGCTCAAATAAGCAAAGAGAAACGAGGTGTTATGGTGTGGGGGTGCTTTGCTGGTGACACTGTCCGTGATTTATTTAGAATTCAAGGCACACTTAACCAGCATGGCTACCACAGCATTCTACAGCGATACGCCATCCCATCTGGTTTGGGCTTAGTGGGACTATCATTTGTTTTTCAACAGGACAATGACCCAACACACCTCCAGGCTGTGTAAGGGCTATTTTACCAAGAAGGAGATTGATGGAGTGCAGCATCAGATGACCTGGCCTCCACAATCCCCTGACCTCAACCCAATTGAGATGGTTTGGGATGAGTCGGCCGGCAGAGTGAAGGAAAAGCAGCCAACAAGTGCTCAGCATATGTGGGAACTCCTTCAAGACTGTTGGAAAAGCATTCCAGGTGAAGCTGGTTGAGAGAATGCCAAGAGTGTGCAAAGCTGTCATCAAGGGTGGCTATTTGAAGAATCTCAAATATAAAATATTTTTTGGTTACTACATGATTCCATATGTGTTATTTCATAGTTTTTGATGTCTCCACTATTATTCTACAATGGTAAAAAATAGTAAAAAATAAAGAAAAACCCTTGAATGAGTAGGTGTGGTCCAAACTTTTGACTGGTACTGTATTGAAGCTGTCCAAAATGGGGGCCCTGTCCCGGGAGGGGGAATGGGTGACCATGTGTGTTGTGTGTGTGTGCTTTCGTAAACTGACCTGTACTTACTTTGCTTAATC